GTAAAATCGAAAATTCCAATTTATTTTTAGCTTATGTCAAAGTATAAATCGAGGATTGCCTATCTCACAAATAAATTATATATAAGCCAGGGTTTTATGTTATATGCCAGGTATCAATTTTATTTTTATCTAATGCTAAGAATTAATACATTATCGATACGTATTATTTTTTTGTATATAAATTCTTATCACATTCACACCGCTTATATATTCCATTCGCTACTTTTTTACAGGTCTTACAATATAGGTGTGAATGATGATCGCATTCGTCACAAACCTTACACTCGTGCTTCCAGCCTCTAAAGATATGCCACTTTTCGAAGTGATTTTGTCTTTTTTTATTTGTATATGTATTGTTATAATTTTTTATCATTGTTGTATTAATAGAAAAATAATTATACGTGGCTAATTTTTTTTATTATACAAACCTGCTCCATCTTACAAACAAATTATAATCCCTATAAAGATAATTTATTTCATGAACACATTTAAAAATCGAATAATGGTGATAGATAACTTTATTAATTTTATATAAGTATATGAAGTATTAATACTATTACTACGCATTGATATCAATCCTGACCGCTGGATCAGGACATGTGATCTCACGTGATTGGCGCAGTAGATTAGTTTTTTTGTTTCAAAATGGTAAGTATAATATTATCAATATTCTCTTTTCTTAATTTTGAAATGGTCAATGCACTGAAAGATCTAACTCTTTGAATCTTATCCTCTCCGATATTAAGAAAGAGCTTATAAATTTTTCGTGATCTTTCTACTTTTTTTCACAATGTAGTATCTGTAATATTGGGAATTTGTTCTTTAACTTCTTCATTAACTAACAACAAAGAAGCATATGGAGGATTAGATTTCTTGTGATGCTCAAGCCGTTCCGATAGAGCTTTACCGAAAAGATAATAGCTGGTTATAACTTCCCGATTTATAATTTCATTTTCAGTTTCTGCATGGGTTATATTATTGTACAAATCAACAAAATTATTTGCATTTTCTTTTTTAGTTACAAGAACTTGCAGAGTACTTGGTTCGGTTGGTTCGGTAGATAATTCTTCTATAAGTTTCTTTAGTGTAAGTGATTTTTTTTTTATCTGCTTTGCTTTTTTGTTAGATGGTTTATCCAGAAATAATTTGGAATCATTAGTATGTTTTTTTGATGTATCACTCTGGGTAAACAGAGGGCTTTTAAATATCATAGGTGATATTTCCATTAAATCGATATTCTGACTTCCAGGCGTTTCGACCACAGATTCTATCTCCTTCATACAACCAGGTTTCAGGCATTTTGGACTAATTTTAATAGAACTTTCGATACAATCACGATGATATAAGTAGCCACAGGTAGGTAAAGTAATTGGTTTTTTTATTTCATATAAAAAAAGTTCTTGGTTGCATAACGAACATGGATCTAGTTCTGGAACTTCAACGCCTTTTGCAATAATATCCAGGGAGCCATTCTTAAGAATATTTAATGCGAGAGTTTTGAGACACGAAATATTTTGGGAGTTTGGGTTAGTAGATATATTCAAAGATAAAGTTTTGCAGGATTGAAAGAATTAGTATACGTTATAGACAGATAAGTATTTGCAATTAATCATATACTTAGCTCATTTTTATAATAAATACTTTCACAACTAAAAAACTAATTTCGGGTTTGATGATCCGTTCATTCACGAATTATTTAGTATGGGCCAGGAGAGTCAAAGACTCGATCCTAAGGATCATCGCTTGATCTTCACTGGCAATCGTGGATAAATAATTTAGCTTAAGGGTAGACCCAAAGAGTCATTGCTCTGCAATAAGTGCAGTTAGTGAGTTGGTTAGTACCAAAATACTTCTATGCTGATCTCCGATTCATGGATTTAAAACACATGACACCCCCCTTGAGGCCCATTATAATGTGATGTGATTTACTTCACTTTGTGGCTATATATAAGATCATCAAGCTCGATAATTAACTTTACCTTTTACTTTATGCTTTCGAATAGGGGGTTTCTTTACTGCTCTAGTCTTATGTGCATGTGTAACTTCTATTTCTGAACTAGATGTAGAAGAATTACTTGAATTGCTGTCTGAAGTGTCTGAATTAGAAGAAGCATTTGTAGAATATTTGATATTATTTTTCTTACTCTTATTTTTGGAAACATCGTCATTTAATCTTCTGAATAGTAGATATGTTGAAGGTATGTTGCAAAGCAATGACCCTTTGGGCCTATTTCCAATATTTGAGAGAATTTTGTTAATTATATTCATAACCTCCTCTTGAGCTAGACCAGGTTTAGATTCCATTAATTTAGATAAATTATTTTTAGTAGAGCTGGCTTTGTTAAAATCTTCATTGAATAATGAGATGCTTATACCATCTATTACAATTTTAGCATGTGGATATGGGTTTTGGGAGAATATCCAAAGCTTATTTTTGCTTCATATATCTATAACCAATCTTGCCCCAACACTAGATCGAATAATAGATTTTTGTGAATTTGAAAGTCTATTAGTTCAGTATCACCTAAACTCTGCCACTTTCTTTTAATCTAAAACTGTAAATCTAAGCCTTTTATTTCTTCGCCTATCAGATCATCACCAACTAAACCTTCTAATTCGTGATCAGATTCAAGCTTATCGAATAAGTGTTTGCTAATAGTATTATATTTAGATGTTATATCGATTAACACTTTTATTACATATTAATAAATAATTTAACATAGACAATGACTGAAAATAATAATATTGAATTAGTGTTAAAGCAACAGAATGTGATTGATTCATGTTCAGAATGTCCAATTATCACTTATAAGATTGCGAAAAAATTGGGTTTCGAAAAAGATAAAAGTTTACCCATTACCGATAAAGTGGTATTTGATATTGTTAAGCAAGTATCGAGTAAAAAAATCCAGATTTCTCTCTGCCAATTACTGAAGATAGTGAAACTTGAGATTCAGCAGGATATTATAAACTCGATAGCAAACCCAGATATTTCTTGGAGAAATTGTACACTATTTGAGGCTAAAAGAAAAAAAACAATTTTTAATAATATTGCATCTGAGTCCTCATCTAAATCTTCATCCCTATCTGAGTCTGGGTCCAACTCTGAATGGAATAAAAGCAATTAGTAATTATATAGGTTAATGATATCCTCAACCTCACTATTTTCTTGTTTAGGTGCTGGGGTATTTGGTCTGTCATTTATTACACCATAATGTTCAACTGATAAAGCATGACCTATTTTATATCTATATGCCAATTGCTATAAATATTGATGGCAGGAATCATTCCTACCTTCATGTACTCTGGAAGCATGATCGGCACCTATTTTTCTTAATATATATGAGGTAATTCTATGGTGACTTAAGAATTGATTAAGAGGTGCAATATTAGTATTCCCATTCTTATCTTTTAACAAGAAGGGAAATTTATCTAGTATTGATCTCTGAATCCAGATAAGTAATTCTCTCACTCGTATTGGATTTTTTTCTATTGAAAAGAATGGCCGGGGTTCTTCTACCTCATCTTTATTTTTTGCATAACCAATACAGTACCAAGAATAGTCAGGACTATACCATGACTCATGACTTGGTTTGTATTAGTTGATACAAAGATTTTTTACATCTGCCAATCGCATACATAGCATTATCATTACGTCTATTAGATTTTGCATTGAAGAAGACTTGGTAATATTACATTTGTTAAGTCTTTCCTGAACCTTTTTTAGGTAAAAGAACTCGGGACAATCATAACTATTAATTCCACGAAGTATACGCTTTTTTGCTTGAATCTGATTTGCTTCTTCAGTAATAAAAGATATTTTCGTTGCCTCAGTAATGAGATAATTAGCTTCTAAGCTATGCAACTCTTTCTATAATAAATTAAGATGAGAATTTTCTGCAACAGTAGTAGGAGCAAAAGAAGCCAAGTCATATGCTATTCTATTTATTTCTTCAGGTGAGAGATTATTTTTTATAATATCTTGGGCAATAATTTTAATAGGATCTCTTTTATCAACATGTCTCCCAGGAGCTTGAATAGGAATAAGAGTATCAGCTTGCTCCTTACTTAATTCCAATTCTTGGAAGCATCTTTTGGCCTGATCTCTGGCTTTTCGGGCCTGCGCTTTTGTCTTGCTATTTGAAAGTTTACTAGCCAACTCTTTGATATAACTACTAAGCTGTGGTAAACTAGTTTAAGGAGTCAATTTGTAGCGATTTACAAATGATGTAGCGATTTTTGCTATGGTTAGTATAAGTCAGTTAATATGATTGAGATGTTTTATATAGACTATTTTCGTCTGATATATAATATGGAGATTCTTTTTTCAAATCAAAATAAATTACGCTTCCTCCTCTATACCTAGAAAAAAAGAGTTTATGTACTTGCATAAGCAAGAGTAGTATGTCGATTTGAAATTTACTAACATATAGGATATATCGAAAAAAATTTATAGCTTTGGGGGGATCCCAGGCTATATTAATTGTATATTGTATTTTATTTTTTAGTATATTGCTCGAGCTAGAATTAATATATGTTCTGGCTCTAGATTGTTTGCCTTGGTGAATGCATCATATAAGGCATTTGGACTATATTTTGAGGAAATCAAATTCGGATAATGGAGAAATTTCATAAGTATAACACTTCTCTATTCGCGCACTTTATTACTATCCCAACACATTTCTAATAATGCAGATAAGCTGGAGTAATTCATCTCAATCAAGTTATCTAAAGACGTTTTTCTATTTCTTTTTATAGTAAAAAGACTCATTTCTCCTTCGACAATAGATAACGTAGTAATCGGACATCTTCCACATACGTCTCAATTGAGCGTAAAGGTCTCAAAAATCAAGAATGTGGCCATTTTCCTAGATTTATAGTATTAAGTAATCATGATGCCTTAATTCGTGTTGAGCAAGGAGATGGTCATATTGTATGTTTAGATGTTTCACCTCGATGTAAAGGTAATTTTAAATATTTTGGTTAGTTAAGAAAAATTCTCAACCATCCCGATACACCTGGATCTTTTATGAGCTATTTACTCGATCAAGATCTTTTGAATTGGAATCTACAAGAAAATATTCCTACTACTAAAATGAAAACAGAGACAATGCGTGAGCATCTCCCAAACCCTATCCGATTCATAATTGATCATATTTCGGTATGGTCAGAAGATCAAATTGAAAAACCAGGCTGTGCTATGTTATATCAGGAGTATCGTACATGGTGTGAAGCTAATGATAAAAAGCCATTCAGTAATAATAATTTTAGAAAAAAAATCCCACAGGTTAACATTGAACGAAAACATGCTAGTGGTAGAAAAAAAGAATGGCAGTATATTCTCAATCGTTCAAAAATCGTGGCCAAGCTACATAAATCAGTAGGTAATATCGAAGAATTTTCAAACTCACTTCAAACCGAAATATCCACCAATACATCCACAAATATTCCTATATTTAATGTTCCAGAAATCGTAACTTCTGAACTGAAAAAAATAAAACCCACCTCATCAAATACCAATTACATCGAAAAAGGTAAAAAAACATCCACCCTTCCTATTCCTGATATGACTCAGGATCTCTTCGATTCTGTAACAAATAAAAGTTCAGTTGCTTCGTTATCCAAGTCTACAAATATATCTCTGCCTCCCGAGATCGTGAATGTAAAACCTGTAGATGATAAATTTAAATCTCCTGAGATCTTACCTGTAAACAATGAACCAAAAACCAGTAATGAAGTATTATTCTAGCAGATATCATACTCACCCGGATATCAAACCAGGAAGCAACAAGAGGTACGTCTTCGTGAAAAAGCTATTGAACTTGGTGAAGATCCTGCCAAATTCATTACTATTACTGAAAAAGATAAGCTTGATTCTGTTACATTCCATGACAGAATGCAGACTGATGCGAGAATATGTAGTTTTGCAAAGGAGGCCGAAGAAGACCCCAGTGAATATATGGATATAACAGTGCGAGAAAGACTAATAAGTGAAAAAATAATCTGTCGTTCTCTCGAGGAAGATGGAATTACCTCATCATGGCTAGATACTGATGAGGAATAGAAAAAAATGATTAACATACTCCAGGAAAATGGTATGTTATGGTAATTGTTTAGTCGATTAGAAGCGAATAAGGTAAATTTCACAGGTAGGAGCTTTAATATAGGGAAATTTTTGCTTCTACATATGGGCAATATAAAATTTTCAAATTAAAATATAATGAAAACTCTGTTCTTTATACTAATATACTGGTTTTTGTGAGGCCTAAAAATGATATTTGGTTAATTTTTCATTTTCGAATTTAATTTTAAATATGAAAGTAAGAATAATATATCTATTTTGTGATATTGAATCGAAAATGCCTTGTAATTGGTTATTAGTTAGAGATACTAAATTATGTAAAAACCCAGCAAAAGGACAATATTGTGCTACCTATGCATTCAAGATTCGAAAGGGTATAATAATTCCACAACCCTGTAAAGGATGTGGTCGAGGGACTAAATCAAGCCTTCAGAGGAAAAAGCGTAATTAATTTCGAATTGAAAAAAATAAGTAGATTAATGTACAATCACATTCTACTTATCGATATAGATTATTTACATATCTATTATGGCAACTGTCCGAAAAACTAGAAAACCCAAAACTAATAGCTTTACCTCCATTTTGGATCAGGTCCTCAATAAATATAACCTATCGGTCGAATCAAACCCGCTTCAATTACGTGCTCATGCCGAAGAGCTTAGTACTATGCTACTGGATTGGAAGGCTCTTAAAGATGTGAAAGAGGCTCTCCATCGGCGCTTATTCAAAGAAAATCAAATAAGAGCTCTGGTTCCAAACAACAAAAAGAAAAGGCTTACTATCAAGGAAAGAGCTCAATATTGTGCAAAAATTAAAGATGTGTAAGATATTTGGTTATATGCTTTAGACTTAGCTATGCCAAAAAATAATACAGATGAAGCAATTGTGGTAGCCAGTTCTCATGTTTCACAATTTCGTAAAGAGTTAGCAGAAGCTGGGGTTGGTTCTGAGCAAATTTATATATATGTCAAATTACTAGAAGCTACTCAAGCTTCTAATGAAATTCAAAAGAGGCAACTCGAATAGCGATTACCCAATCCACCTAAAACTTCCAAACACTTTTTCTTAAAGAAAGGACTTAGAAGAATAAAAAATATCAATATTAATAAAATCTCTACTATGCAAGATCTTGCAGATGTAATTATGATGTTGAGTATGAGACCTACCGAAGTTGCCACTCTTCATATTATCCATTATGAACCCAGTGAATTGAATCCTTCTAAATAGTACAAGCCTGGTTATTCTTGGTATTGTATTGGGTATATTAAAAATAAAGGAGAAGCAAAAAATAATTCCGAACGTTGGCAATTTCTATCTATGGAAAAGAATCCAGAACATGCAAAAGAATTGCTTACCTGGATCCAAGATGCAATAGCAACTAGAAAGTTATACAATCCTGTCTATAGTATTAATGGAAAATGTAGTACAGGAGTATTTAGTTAATTTTTAAAACCATATGATATTACAGCCAAAATATTAAGAAAAATCAGAGATAAACATGCTTCTAGAGTTCATGGTGGTCAAAATCTAACTTTGCAACATCATGAATTCCTTAGCAGAATTGCAATGAGACATAAGATAGACCATTTTGATTCTAGAAAGTATTATGCTGAGGATGATACTTCTAATTCTGATCTTGACTCGGATCAAAAGTCTGAACCAGAAACTCGAGCTCCCATATCCAAGTCAACTAGTGAGAACACTTCTATAACTGAAATCGAGAATATCTATGACTTATATGGAAGTATCTAGATTAGTTTACTATAACCCAACTTCACCCTTTTGTGCCTGCTTTGCAATAAATCTATCTGGAAATAATTGAACCTATTAGATATTTTTTTCAATTCGAAATTAATTACGCTTTTTCCTTCTATACTCAGAAAAAAGAGGTTATATATACCTATTCTTTAAATTGTTTTGCAGCCAAATTTGCCTGCAACTTTTTTTAAATTTTAAATTTTTCTAATAAAATTTTAAATATT